GGACACTGGCTTTTCAGGGGGCACTCTTTTATTTAAGGTCAGAAAATGTTGTGACCGTACATGCATTTACGATCACAGTACGAGAATGTACTAATGCTAACAGTGCTAATAAGCCTGCGGAATTGAATGGTGCAGTGTGTTTGGAGAGGCTGAAAGCAAATTCTTGACAGTGAAATGGGTTGTGCAGGGAGGGAGCCTTCCTTTGCTTTCATTTATAATAAAATTTCCAGTGCCTATCCCCCTGGATTGCCTTACACAGCATCCACTCCACTGCCAGGGGTGATAACCCATTAGTTGAGAAACACTGGAGAAGGGGTATAGGGAATCAGGATGTCTGAATTCTATTCCTGGCTCCTCCTATGTAGCCTGGGCAGATGAGTCTCTCTGTGCCTCAGTTTCCAAAAATAGGGACAATGCCAACCTGACAGGATGCTGCAAAACTGACATAATTGTAGCTGGATAAAAAGAGGGACCTAATTGGACACTGCATGTGGACCACCTGTGGACTCTTCATATTTGATTCAATGGCATGGCTCAGATTACAACGGGCTGCACCGGGGATTGACTGCAGGGAACATAATCTGGCCTCAGTGGACAAAGCTCTGGAGAACTGTTGAGCGCGAGTCTTCCTGCTGCGGAGGAGGAAAGATGTTGTTACAACAGAAACATGAGGACCAAAGCCATCTCCGAAGTCAGCAGCTCACTGAGGGGTTGGGGAGCAACCCGTGGGGATGGTCTGTCCGTTTCACTAAGAACAATCCAGGAGGCAGCTTGTGCAAAAGGTGACTTTATTGAACCATCCGTGCACAGTCACCACAGCTCTCTCACTAGTCTCTCCTATTTTCTTTCGCCTTCACCGAGATGGCAGGGTGTCCAGAAAGACCACGGGGGGGAGGGGAGCAGCTTACAGCAGCAGCAGACTGCGCAGCTCCTGGGAGGAGGTGACAGGCAGGGAGCAGGCAAAGTTTTCACAGAGATAAGCAGTGGCTTTTCCGTCTTTCCTCTCCAGGGAGGAGAGAAAGGGCAAGTGGTGGTACAGGAATCCAGAGCTGTCCCCGTCCGCCAGCATCAGCACCTGGGATAAACAGAGGTGGAGCGGGTCAGGGATGGCGTGCGAGGGTGAACACAGACGTGAACCATTCAGCTCCCCTTCCCCACCCTGGGATATGCCAGTGCTGACTATCTCAGGCCTATGCACGTTAGGAGAGCCAAGGATGGAAGGCGAAGAGAACCAGAGACAGTTCTTAGGGCATGTCCCACTGAGCTCACTCTCAGCGAGCCGCTGTTGGAAAAGCCCCAGTGAAGGTGTTTCCACGACCTCCCGAGCCAGTCTGCCCCCCTGCCCTACTGTTCTTAGTTAGGAAGGTTTTCCTGAGATGTAATGGACATTTGCACTGCTGCTATTTAGTAACTTTGTGTATCTGTGCTAGGGCTGCAAGGCCTGGGTCTGGCTGGGTTGGAAAAGGTCCCCCCCCCCCCGGAGCCAGTCTGCCCCCCTGCCCTACTGTTCTTAGTTAGGAAGGTTTTCCTGAGATGTAATGGACATTTGCACTGCTGCTATTTAGTAACTTTGTGTATCTGTGCTAGGGCTGCAAGGCCTGGGTCTGGCTGGTTTGGAAGAGGGGGATGTGCTAGTTATTTGCAAAGCTGCTGTAAAAAAAGTGGGAGAAAAGTTCTCTCTTGCCACAGAGGGCAGGACAAGAGGCAACCAGTTCAAACTCCAGCTGAGCAGATGTCCATTACATCTCAGGAAAACCTTCCCAACTAAGAACAGTAGGGCAAGGGGGGCAGACTGCCTTGGGAGGCTGTGGAAATATCTTCACTGGGGCTGGATGGTGTAGACACCAAATCCTGCACCGTGGTAGGGGGTTAGACGAGATGACCCTTGTAGTCCCTTCCAGCCCAATGCTTCTATTTCAGAGAGCGCTGGCCCCTATGGACCAACCAATGCTGCTGGAAGAATGTGGGACCACTAGTTGCCCCCATTTCTAGCCCTCTCCCTCGACATGGCGTAGCCTGCCTGACCCAGCCTGCTGCCCTCCTCCCCTTGTGCATGGCTCCCAGGAGGCCTAAACACTCCTTTGTCCCTCTTAGAGACAAAAGCCGGACCAAGCCCTCCCCTCCACAGGGAGCACAGGAACATACGGCCAGCGTCCCTTCATGCAGGTCCTCTCCTCTCATCCTGTCTGCGATAATTTAAGGCGCTAGCCTGCAAGGTGCTGATCCTTGCCACCCACCACTCCAGCACCCTGCTGGTACGTTGTGAGAGCTCCAGGACAGGCGGGCAGCCGGAGAATGCGAGAACTGGAAGGGGCCTCGAGAGATCATCCAGCCCAGTCCCCTGCCCTCCCGGCAGGCCCAAGAGCCTACCTGTCTGTCAAGCGCCATGCACCCAATAGTGTTGCAGGGCCAGCCTTTGGCGAAAGCTGTCTCACAGGGGGCTTAGTGCAATGCCAAGTGGGGTCTGGAGAGGGCTGGGCATGCACTGTAGAGCATCACCTGGGAAGCTGTGTGCAGTGACAGGGGCTATACGGGGAAGGGCTGGCATGTAGTGAGGGTACTGCCTGGGAGCTCAGTGTGCAGTGAGGGGCACTGCTCAGAGTCTCAGGGTGCAGTGGAAGTCCAGGAGCTCACTGTGCAGTGGGAGATACTGCCCAGGGGCTCAGTGAGCAGTGGGAGATACCGCCCAGGGGCTCAGTGAGCAGTGGGAGATACCGCCCAGGGGCTCAGTGAGCAGTGGGAGATACCGCCCAGGGGCTCAGTGAGCAGTGGGAGATACCGCCCAGGGGCTCAGTGAGCAGTGGGAGATACCGCCCAGGGGCTCAGTGAGCAGTGGGAGATACTGCCCAGGGGCTCAGTGAGCAGTGGCAGAGACCCCCCAGGGGCTCAGTGAGCTGCGGGAGATACCGCCCAGAGGCTCAGTGAGCAGTGGCAGAGACCCCCCAGGGGCTCAGTGAGCTGCGGGAGATACCGCCCAGAGGCTCAGTGAGCAGTGGCAGAGACCCCCCAGGGGCTCAGTGAGCTGCGGGAGATACCGCCCAGAGGCTCAGTGAGCAGTGGCAGAGACCCCCCAGGGGCTCAGTGAGCTGCGGGAGATACCGCCCAGAGGCTCAGTGAGCAGTGGCAGAGACCCCCCAGGGGCTCAGTGAGCTGCGGGAGATACCGCCCAGAGGCTCAGTGAGCAGTGGCAGAGACCCCCCAGGGGCTCAGTGAGCTGCGGGAGATACCGCCCAGAGGCTCAGTGAGCAGTGGCAGAGACCCCCCAGGGGCTCAGTGAGCTGCGGGAGATACCGCCCAGAGGCTCAGTGAGCAGTGGCAGAGACCCCCCAGGGGCTCAGTGAGCTGCGGGAGATACCGCCCAGAGGCTCAGTGAGCAGTGGCAGAGACCCCCCAGGGGCTCAGTGAGCTGCGGGAGATACCGCCCAGAGGCTCAGTGAGCAGTGGCAGAGACCCCCCAGGGGCTCAGTGAGCTGCGGGAGATACCGCCCAGAGGCTCAGTGAGCAGTGGCAGAGACCCCCCAGGGGCTCAGTGAGCTGCGGGAGATACCGCCCAGAGGCTCAGTGAGCAGTGGCAGAGACCCCCCAGGGGCTCAGTGAGCTGCGGGAGATACCGCCCAGAGGCTCAGTGAGCAGTGGCAGAGACCCCCCAGGGGCTCAGTGAGCTGCGGGAGATACCGCCCAGAGGCTCAGTGAGCAGTGGCAGAGACCCCCCAGGGGCTCAGTGAGCTGCGGGAGATACCGCCCAGAGGCTCAGTGAGCAGTGGCAGAGACCCCCCAGGGGCTCAGTGAGCTGCGGGAGATACCGCCCAGAGGCTCAGTGAGCAGTGGCAGAGACCCCCCAGGGGCTCAGTGAGCTGCGGGAGATACCGCCCAGAGGCTCAGTGAGCAGTGGCAGAGACCCCCCAGGGGCTCAGTGAGCTGCGGGAGATACCGCCCAGAGGCTCAGTGAGCAGTGGCAGAGACCCCCCAGGGGCTCAGTGAGCTGCGGGAGATACCGCCCAGAGGCTCAGTGAGCAGTGGCAGAGACCCCCCAGGGGCTCAGTGAGCTGCGGGAGATACCGCCCAGAGGCTCAGTGAGCAGTGGCAGAGACCCCCCAGGGGCTCAGTGAGCTGCGGGAGATACCGCCCAGAGGCTCAGTGTGCAGTGGGAGATACCGCCCACCGGCTTGGGTTCACAATGGGAGATACTGCCCAGGGGCTCAGTGTGCAGAGAAGGGCACAGCCAGGGGTGGGTGTGCAGTGAGGATGCCACGTGGGGTGCTCAGTGTGCTGTGAGAGTTACCACCTGTGGTCTCAGTGTTCAGTGGGGAGCTGTCTGGGGAGGGTTGATTTGCAGTCCATGGGAGTAGGGGGGTGCCCAGCCAGGGGGTCAATGCTCATTCGAATGTGGAGTTGCACGACCTCGCCCTGTTGGTTCCTGGTGAGGAGCGGCTGTGCGGCCGGCTTAGCCCATCATTGTGCTGGGCCGTTTGCTGGAGCGGTGGCTAACTTTGCTGCAAACTCATCCAAGCCCTGTTTATTCGCCAAATGAACTCTGCTCAACAGCACTGCTGGCAACGCCGCCCACCCCCACCACCCCGCAGGCGCCAAACTCCCTGCTCTAATTGAACTCTAATGGCATTAATCACTTTTCAGCCCTGCCAGCTTCCTGCAGGCAGGTGTCAGAGCCGCAGCCTGGACAGACCCCAGCTGGCTGACGAGTTAACGCGCCCCCTTCGATTCTGCGACATTTGACGTGGAGCCAACTTCCTAACCGTGGCAGCAGCTCAGGACCCGGTTCCCCTCTCCGGCCAAAGGCTGCAGGCTCAGCATTGGCGCCCTGGTGTAGGAGGCCATGACACCGGAGGCTGTAAACCAGGGCAACAATCCTGCCACTGGTGGGTCGTGCTTCAGGGTAAGATTTTGTCGCCAATATTTTTAGTATAGCCATGGGCAGGGAGGGCCCCTGGAGCTCTGGGCTGGCCCCACGGGTCAGAGCTCCAGGAGCCCGCACTACCTGTGGAGGCTCAGAGCTTGGGGGCCCTGACACCTGAGGCAGCAGGGGTACCCCCCATTTCCCAGCCCCCAGGGCACTCAGGGACCCTGCAGCACCTACCCGTGTGGGGCTAAAATGATAGCAGTCTCTGGAAGTCACCGATTCTTTGCTTCCTGCCACCCTCAGTGACAAAACCGTGGCCTTATTCTTGGTCCGCATGGCAGCGGGGCAATTTTCTTGCCAAAATGCTGATCCTCCTTCCCCATCAGCGCCTCTGTTCTCTCGCAGTGCCCTGGCTCATCTGCTGTGGGCCGGGACATACTGCCAAGGGGTGGGAGGAAGCCCTTTTCCCCCAGCCAGCC